CATAAGAAACTCCAGAAGTTCCTTGCCATTAAGTCATCAATATCTTCCAAATATCCCAGTGAGAGTGTTTGTAAGATCTTTTTCATATTGGGCCGTTCGTCAATATTACCACTCCACATCTTCTGTAACAACTCGTGGTAGACTTCGGGGACTAAAGAATTGAGTGTCGGTCTTTCCCCGTGCACAACGGCGTCTGCAAGTTCTTCTGTAGTTGTACAATTTGTGAAGATGAGTCGTTGTGTGAAAATTTGGTAAATGACGAGTGAAAATGCGTATGTATCACACGTTCGATTGAATTCGTTATATAAAAAAGCTTCTGGGGGAAGGTAATTAGGTGTTCCATGTATCGTTTCGAAAAATTTGGAGGGAGCACGTGTGAATCCAAAGTCAGAGAGTTTTACTTTGAAGTCGTGCGATATCTGTATGTCACCATCTGTTACATCAATATGAAATACGATACATATGAAGTGTTATAAAAAAGTAATTCCCATTAACTATAATAAACTAATAATATAATTATAATTATAATAAAACAAACTAATATGTTTTCTGGTTTTAAATCGCCATGAATAAGTCGAAGTGATTGTAAGTATTGTACAGCCTTCCCTATATCCATACATAACGTCACTTTAATCGAAGTTGTTAATGTTGTTCTTAAAGGGACCGGGCAGTGTTGTTGATCGAATAAGAGACTATCCAAATTAGACTCGACATATTCCATGTTAATAATAAGTCCCTTCTCCGTCTTCTCCGCACTATAGAACCGTACGATGTTTGGGTGCTTCAGTATTTGAAGGTATTGAACTTCATTTTTCACACAGTCGGGTACTTTGGATAATACCTTTGAAGCGACTAAAACACCATTTGACTCAGCTTTATAGACTCGACTAAAGGCACCATGACCTATTTCTTCGATGATTCGAAGATCTTTAAAGACAGACCCTTTGATGTTCTCGCCTTGGACTAAAACCATATGTTTTGACAGTTCAAAAGTGTTCATCCACCAAATATAAATCTCATCAGTTTGGAAAGTGAGTGAATGACACATCTCTCGGCATTTATTTCGTTTTTATACACATATAATCGTTCTAAGAATTCATAGTTAATTATGGTTTTATTTTATTATATTTTATTATTACTTTAATTGTTTTAATAACAATTCAGAGAAATGACTGCGTGGACGCATAATGGATTAAACAGTCTTGATGATAAGATGTAAACTCATAGCTTTTTTTGTGAAAACAATTGGTCACTTTTCCCGATTTTTATACAAATAAAACAAGTGTTTGTATTTGTATTTATAAAGTGGTGAAGTGTTCGTTTCCCGTTTTTTTGAAACTATTTTATATAGTATTTTTTATATGAATTTTACTAGACTAAATAATCTAAATTTGTAAGAGGAGCAATGTTAAAAAATATCAGAAAGCTAAAAATAAAAAGCGTTTCATTGGGTAAAAATTGTCCAAGAAAAGTCTTTTTTGAAGTTTGAGTCGGTACATTTCGAGGTAAAATAAATGCCAAATTGGAGGAATTAAAGAAAAAGGGATGAGAAATGGTCGACAAAGAAGATATTAAATTATTATTAATAGAATTCCCCCTAATGGTATTACGTGTAAACATCTTATTTCGGGTTCTAACAAAATCTTCGACTTTTGAGTCATTTTTTGCTTTAAAAACCATTTCATTGTGTTTATTTTCTTTTCAAAAAAAATCAGAATTGTTGTTCTTTGTTTTTTTACACATTTTTAAAATATGATTTTAAAATATTAATTTTTAAATAGTAATAAAATAGTTCACTTAATTAGTCTTTGATAATAAAAAAAATAAAACATTTATTGTTTTAATTATTTTAATTGTTTTAATAATAAAAAAACACTCAACACCCACAAAAACATTTAATCCACAACTTGAAAATGTTATACAATATGATCAATAACATTTTTTAATTAATTTTGTTTTTACATTACTTTTTTTTAATAACAAAACTAATAAATAATTTATAATTAATGAGTGATGGGGAATTATGTAATGAGCTGAAAAAGCAACAAGATGAGGTCAAGCGATTAAAACTTTTAATATTAAAACAAGAAGATTCTCAGACTGAGATAGTGAGTTCATATGAGGAACAGATTGAAAAACTCAAATCTGACATTTCTTTAATTCCAAAGCAAACCGAGCAAATTAAGACTTTAACTCTTCAAGTCGCACAACTTCAAGAAACCATTTCTAAACAAACGACCGACATCCAGAACAAGCAACGAATCATTCAAACACTGAGTGGGATTGGTCGAAAGATGAAAGAAGAACAAGACACAATTTTCAAAGAAAAAATGGATGTCCTCAATGAGGAATTGGTAGCTTCTCAGAAAGCGACCGTTGACGCTCAAAATGTCAACAAAGCACTCAACAAACAAATCGATGAGTTCAAAAAGACTGTTTTGGAGTTAGAGGAACTGAAGACGACAAACGCACAGAGGAATGAGACGATCACTAAACTCTATGAAGAGAATGAAACACTGAAAAAGGCGGTGGAACACTTCACACAAGACATGCAGAGCAGAATTATGAATGAGTCGTTCTATGTCGATAAAAGAATAGTTAATAAACTACTTATTAGTTATATCACTAAACCACACCAAAGAACGGAAATAGTCGAGTTGATGTCGAAAATCATGGATTTCACTCAAGAAGAAAAACAGGTCGTTTGTTCTGTTCGACGTTTTTATAATGCTTTTTTGAGGGAGTTTCAATTTTCAAAAATAGTTCGCGGTGAAGGCAGAGTTATAAGGCACTTTACACAGAAGCATTTTTTGAAACCGAACTCTTTCCAAATTTTGATTTTTTGTCAGTCTACGTATTTATTATAACATTTTTACTATTAAGAAACTAATAACAAAAAGCTTGGAGTCGCAAAAGAAACAGAGAGCAAAGGTATCTTCTCGTACTTCTTTGGTAAAACAGATGAATACGAACAAGCACCAAAATATGATATCAAAGATAAAACCTTTGGCGATCTTTGGGTCGAATTTTTGTTGAGAGAGTCCGGATCACTCGACTCAGGAACTTCACACCAAGTCGAACAAAGTCAACAACAAGACCTTAAAGATATTAAAGAAATGAAAGAAGTCAAAGAAATCACAGAAGAACAAGAGCCCAAAGACTCACAACCTATTCCTCAATGAAATAAGTCTCAAAGAAAGATTTAATTCAAAAAATTTCAACATTTTGTTATTATGATGTTTGTTTTGTAATAAAACTCATTTCAACATGAAGTATTAGATGTATACTATAATTATTAATGATAAGTTATATAATTCTCAAATCTAATAATTATAATATTTATATTATTAAAAATCAACTAAAAAGTATTTAATAATATTAATTAATTAATTAATAATTATTACTACATAACTAATTATAGACACAAAGTTATATTTTATTAATTATTTTTATAATTAATATAATAAAATTATAATATAATTAGTCTTATTGTTTTTGAAGAAATGTTTTCAAACACATCGAAAGAAGAACTATAAAACCAATGGGAAACGACATTAGTGGTGTGAATTCTGGGACCGAGATAACTTGCCCCTACAAAACACTGGAGGAGCTTCAAGAAGTCTTAAAAAAAGAGGGACTTAAAGATTCCAATTTAATAGTTGGAATTGACATGACTGGGTCGAACATCTCCACAGGCAAACAAACGTACAAAAACAATCTCCACTTTTTCGACGGCGAACACGAAAACCCATATATGCGAGTGATGGATATTATGGCTCGTGCATTGAAGCCATTTGATGAGGATGGATTGATCCCTGTTTTTGGGTTTGGTGCGAAGAAAGAAGGAGCCAACGAACTCTTTTTCGACTTGAATCCTGAAGGGAAGATGTTTGTTGGCATTGAGAAGGCGATTGAACAGTACAAAATCACAATTCCAACATTGACGTTTTCCGGTCCGACTACCTTTGTTCCCCTCATCGAACACGCTACACAAATAGTCCAACAGAACGACCAAGCGTTCCACGTCCTAATTATAATAACAGATGGACAATTGAGTGACGTCGACGAGAACATCGTTGCCATTGAAGAAGCCTCAAACAACAGTTTGTCGATTGTTTGCGTCGGTGTGGGAGATGGTCCCTTTGGGGTGATGTACAACCTTCAAAAAGTTTGTCTTCCTTCGTTTGCATCGTTTTCTTTTATCACCCCTCAAAAATGGAAGGTACAGTATCGACCATTCTTGTGACTCTTATAGTCGTGGTAATGGAGAATAATAATATAATGATTGCTGGTAATGATCTTTAGGTGGTACGAAACTCGAAGTTTAATAACTTCACATTCATCGATTTCAACAGTTTCACTAATAAGGAAGGAGACGACGTCGATGTCTCTTTCGCGTTTGCAGCGATGAGAAGAATCCCACAACAATATATCGAGACAGAACGACTGTTCAGAAGGCCTTCTGCTGAGGACCAAGAACCTGAGAAATCTGATCACTAATTTTCTTGTTCTTTTTGTTCAATTTTTGCATTGCGGTGCGTATTCGTATCACTGTAGAAATCGTTTCAGAATGATTTCAAGTCGATGACGGTTGACTTGTTTTGCAACGCATTTCTTATTTTGTCGAAATGAATGCAATACGAAGAAGAGAAGAGGGAATCAAGACATCCGATGATATAACCTTGTGGGAAAAGCAACGTTGGAACAATGCAATTACATATCTTGACGATCATTATTGAAATATTGTTGTTGATTGTATGGAACATAATACGCTGGTGTATACGAATAACAGTACATCGGCGCCACATTGAGTTGTTGCTGTATGTAAGGAACGTTGACGGGTTGTTGGACGATCTGTGGCTGAACCAACGTTGGTTGGAAGTAGACTGGAGTTGGTTGTATATATGTCGGTGGCTGGACGTACTGAGAAGCCAGTGGATCGTCGTACGCAGCAAGCAGTTCTGCGTTGAACACGACTTTCGAGGTCGACGTTGATTCATCTGCCATTAAGTTTTCGATGAACTCGCCGATGTTAAATAAATCGTCCTTCGTGTAAATCATGTTCTCCTTAGTAATACTCACCACTCGAACAAGTCGCTCTGTCACACTCGCTTTCTTCGTCTTTTTCTCCATGAAGAGAAAGCCCAAATGAGTGAGGAAGTACAAGACCCCATTACTCATTTGAGCCTCTCGATTCCGTTTGATTTGTTTTGGGGAGGTTGCTGGAAGTGTTATTGGCTCGTATCCTAAACTTCTCAAGAGAACATCACTCATCGGTCGAATGTCATCTTGAGTGAAGATCTGCCCGTCGTCGGATGTTATCGTCTCGGGTATTAACATTTTGTTGGTGTTCGTGGTGCGCTTTGTTTTAATTACCGTCACTGAATACCCTTCCCCCGCAAGCAAATAGATCATCGCGTTTAAGACAAGTCCCTCCTCATTTCTGGAATCGCGTTTGCGTTGTTTAATCACTTCTTCTGTCGCGGAAGAAGAGGACGCCGACATCGTGGAGTGACTTGGCTTCATTCGAGATATGAAAAGGCAGATTGAATTCTGATTCATCATTGTATTATAGTATTTTTATTATTCATTTATTAATATAATATTCAAACAATCTTGCAACAATCTGATTTACATTCTCTTGTTTCTAATACCATATCTTTTATGTGTTCTCTTTGTTATGTGTTTCTTTGTTATTTCTTTTACCAATTCTATATAAATGGCTAAATAAAAGAATAACAGTCGTTTGATTTAGAATTTATATAGTTTATTACATAATTCGATTAAACTATAACACTATAGTAAAAACTAAATATAACTAATACTTTTCTTCATTCAAATTTTATATAAATACAATTTTGTATAAGAAAATTTGTTTTATAACAGTGTTCATTTTGTTTAATAAATAAATTTATTATTATAACTCAAAAAGTGTTGTTAAATATCAACATTTTTAATAACATTTTAATATTATTAAAAAAAAATTGATTTTTTTTATATTTTATAAAAATGATGTAAATTTTACATTGATATCATTAATTAAATTAGCGAGCATTAATTAATCATATACAAATTATAAATTAACAATATTTCAATGTAAAATTTATGTTATATAACTCGTTAAATAAATGAAGTGAAAATACTTTATATATGTTAATTAAAAACAATTGTTATAAATAAATTAAATAATAATAAAAACATAAGTATAGTCTTTTGTTATAACTAATAATAAATAATATTAATCACATGTTTAAATTATTATTTTTAATTTATTTTCAAATTCAAAATACGACACAAAAATTATATTTTACACAATTTAAATTTCAAGTAAATATAATAATAATACAGTAAAACCTCCCAAGAGCGGTACCTCTGAAGAGCGGGTTCTCTCAAGAGCGGGCATTTTTTAGACTAAAACTAAAAATAGAGTTCTCTATCGAGTGGTAATTAAGGTTTGATTGGCTAAAAATGCCCGCTCTTGGGAGGTTTTACTGTATTTTTGTTCAAATTATTATTATTTGTAACAACACCTGTTCATTTCAAAACACGCATTTGTATTTGGTTTTAGTATATTATTGATCATCCTAATAATCCCAAATATTACTTATAAACAATGGCAATTTAACCACTTGTATAATTACACAGGAAATGATTTCTTATTTCTATCACTCCATTGATTACTGATTACCAAATTACAACAAATGCTTTGTAAACAACTTTTCAAAAGACCAAATTTCTAATTATCAAAAACAATAAACTTTTACAAAGATCATTATAGTATAAAAAACTATATTAACTAGTACATATTAATAATTCAAACAGAATTGTAGTAATGTGTACCCAATTTTAATTCCCACTTAAAAACGTCTGTTATACTTAATAATGCACGTTTTTATGACACAATTAATAATTAAAAAAGGGTAGAAGACTCTTTAAATATATAAATTAAAAAGTGTGTCATTCAACACATATAAACTATCTATCTAGATATTTCATACGTTCAATAGTATGTCACATGATTTTGGGAAGTATCTTTACCTTGAAAAGAAGTCACAAGAGTTTGAGGAATTTGTCAAGAGTTCATTATTTATAAGTACAAGCGATTTTACACTAGATAAAGAAAAGGACTATCTTGGTGCTGGAGAGTTTGGAAAAGTTTATAAAATTCAAATGAAAGGGACGTCATTTGCTTTGAAGATTAATAAAAATCCGGTGTGTAAAGAATATGCCCCAGGGACTGTTTCCGAGTTAGAAACGTTACGTGGGTCGCACAACAACAACGTTGTTTTATTTGTTGGTCTAACTTTTATAGACGAAAGACTGGGGATTATAACTGAGTACGTGGACTCCGACTTAGAGACTTTCATTCACAAAAGAAGCTCCCCGCGATTTGTTAAAGTGTTTGGACAATTAAACATCAACTTAGACTTAAAAATACGGATAATGGAACAATGTTGTTTAGGGGTCCAGTGGCTTCACAATGCCTTTGGTATCATCCACCGAGACATCAAGCCTGCCAACTTTTTGATGAACACGTCCTTTGAAGTTAAAATCTGTGATTTTGGTCTTGCGGTGAATAGAAAGATTGCCAACAAGCAAAAGAAAGGGACTTTGTTGTACATGTCTCCCGAAGTCTTAAAAGATGAAGAAGATTATGGGAAGCCAGCTGATGTCTACAGTCTTGCAATAACACTGTGGGAACTTTTATATGAAAAAGTGCCATTCTGTGAATATGAAAAGAAGTGTGAAAAGGACACGAGTATATTTGAGGCTTTAGTAATAGACAACGTACGACCAATTCTTCCTCACATCTTTTTAGAAGAGTATAAAGGCAAAAAAGCCTTTGAACAGATGTGCCAAAAGATAGCAGAGAATTACAAGGAAAAGATGAATGAAATACCAAAGTACTTGGAAGAGATATTAAAAAAGGCTTGGAAGGACAAACCAACAAGTCGGAGTGATATCAATAAATTAGTTGAAGACGTCTCTGTGGCTAAACTCTCTAATGTTTTGAACTCACAAAGCGCATCGGAGTGGTGGTCTAAGCACTTTGGGACGGACAAGACTCGGACTGACAATTTTGTCACATCCAAAGTGTTTTCTGAAGCATTAGCAAAAACATTCAAGTATGACACTTACGATCAAAAAGCGACCGAAACCGCGTTTTCACCAAGTGGCAGTGTCGACATCCTTCGCTTCAAATTTCTGATTTCGATCTTTGGGAAGTTCTATTTGAACAAGAATCAGTTCCTCAAAATGTTAGATATCATCCAAGCCAAATGGTACAATCCAGCTTTAAACAAAGCAACTGCTGCTGGTCAAATGGAAGGGAGAGTCGATGGGACTTTTTTAATTCGAGAGTCCACCACAGACCCCTCTTCTCCACTTACTCTCTTAAAAATGGTGAAAGGGAAGGTGTCTTTAGTCCGAATTGAATGTACAAAGAAAGGAGAGTCTATTCTCTACACAATACTCACAAAAACAGAGAAAGAGTCTTCCGAGTATCTATGTGATTTGATCGACAAATTAGTCACTCTTAAAGTGATAACACAACCGTGTCCAAAAGAATATAAAGAATCAATTTATTAATATCTTTCATTTAATAAATTAAGCACTTTGTAAGACTCTTTTAAACCCTAAATGTCATCCACAAACGATAAGAACAGTAATCATAACGTTGTAAATACTTCGTGTGAACGGTGTTCGACTCTCACTTGTCTAAAAACACCTTCTCAAACGATGAATAGTCTATCGGCCACTTCATGATGTCTTCTTGTTGCTCTTTCCAACTCCGTTTCTTCGCTAATTCTTCACTCTCTAATAACGTTTTGAGTGCTCTTCGATGAAACGGTAACACTTCATTGAAATCAACTTGTAACACACGTCTCGCCGGTTTGCTCTCTTTGTTGGTGTATCGAACCATCATCACTTCGACTCCACTTCTATCTTCCGTCATGTCTAATGTTAACATGACCTTTTCTAACGACACAATTTTGTGCTTTCGAAGGTACTTCCACACCCCCAAATTCTCTTCATTAGTGTACTTGAAAAACGTTCGAAGGGACGTCACAAAGTTTGCAACATAATTTTCTTTCATGACGCCTCTGATGATCAACGAGTCGAACGTGTCGCGGATTATCACATCGCACGGCGTGATCCGAAACAACTCGTCGTTGATATACAACACGCCAAATCGCGTCTCCCGCGCTAACTTCTCCATCGTGTCACCTTCTAAAAAGGATTTAAAGAACTCCGGTAGTACCAAAAGGGCGTGATCATATATCCCATCCTTCCCAATCCAGAACTCTCGTGCTATTTCTATGATGAAGGTGATAACATCTTGCGTCCCCAAGCATTTCTGGTCAATCGTTTTAATCATTTTCGTGACATTACTTCGTTCTGTAACATCGGTAATGGCTTGACTCGCTACTAAATGTCTCACAAAATTATTTGAAGGTGACACCGCCACGAGATGTGTTGGTTTGACACTCGATCGTTTGTTCAATTTATCAGAACCTTTACTTTTCCTCTTGATTTGACCGTCCACGCGATAATTCACAAAATCGATGAATACCAATTTGTCCTCTGTTATGTCGCTAATCTCTTGAATATCAGAGATAACTGTTTGAACGACATCTTCGTCGTGTTTATGTGGTTTTAAGTACCTCCGAGGATCTTTCAGTTCGTTAATATCTTTGAACCCCAATTTCTGTAGATCTCTATGTCTGTCTCCTGTACGATTCTCCTCACTATATATATCCTCGCTTGAATTTGGTTTATTCGATGGTGTCAATTGGACCATTTCCTTATATATCACTTCTTCTTTTGAGCTCCTCTCTTTCAACATCGCCAAACAAGTCTTCAGCATCTCTCCGGTGTTAATAATTCGACTTCTTGAATTCCTCAAGTTTTTCAAGTACTCGTGCGACCTTTTAATGACGACGCTGAGTGGATTTAAATGGGAGTTTTGTTGCAGCGACGTGTAAAGAGGGGTGAAGTCGCTTTGACTTTCTAAGTTCAGTTCATCGACAAATTGTTTATAAAAAACGTCCATTATAATGATCACTTTTTTTTCTTCGTTTAATTTGGTTCGAATCGTTTTGCAATACGGTGCAATCACATCACTCATCCACGCCTTAAAATCATCGGCCGTGTAATACAAAGTCAAACTCTTCGGACACGGCCCGTTCGAAGTCATCACACTATACTCTCGACTCCACATCGGCGGCTTCTTCTTCCCTCCAAGTTTCAAAAAGGAGCCTACCACTTCACACGATTTGGTGATACAAAGTAACGTACTCGACATCTTCGAGTGTCGCGTAAGCCGCGGAATTTGTTTGTCGCTCCGCTTGTAATGGATCAGAGACCCTCCTATAACACATTGGTACCCTAACTCGTCAAGACCTAAGACCATCCGACTGTCTAATGACTCGACTTTCGCTTGGACAGCGCGGTCCTCTTCATTTTCAAGAAGTTTCAAGTTCTCGTTTTGTTCATCGGGATCTGCCAATTTGACATCAAAAAGTTGACAGAAACTCGTTGCGGGAGGAGACACAATCACGTGGTGATTGTGACAATAATCTTCTATGGTGTTTTTTGTTATTAAAATGTTATACCCATTGACTTTGACGTTTTCGAGTTCGTCCGTCATCGTTTTTATATCTTTCACTACGGAAGGATTCTGTTCAGTAATACATATCTCCTCTATCGGTTTCTTTTCTTTCGGATTCTCACCAAAAATCGGAGTTGATAAAGGAACGCCTATCATTCTTCTTTAACTAATTATTCATATTTCCATTTGTATAAACCTATAACTATTGTTATATCGTTGTTTTACTATGTATTTTTACTATTCTCCTCATAATATAGTACTTTTTGCAATGTAACTTACTATATGTTATCATTAAATTATAATAAAATATTTGTAGGGTTTATTTAAACAATTCTTTTGAATGGATAATAAAGTTATAAATTAAAATGGTTCAATTTCTTTTGAATTGCCATTTATAAGTACTGTATTATAATTTGTTAATTAAATTATTATATTTTAATACTACTAATTATCTATAATGAATGTAATGACAAACTAAATGAAATTATAAAAAGTATAATAATTGTAATAAATACTTGAATATAAATATACAATATTTAAATGTATTATTACAAATAATAAAAAATACCATACTTCAATAATAAAAAGAATAACACTAAAATTAAAAAGAAGCTATTTGTTTGTTAAACTGAACCTGAAACTTTTCCTGATGACTATCAATGTTTTCAGACGAGATATGACCTCCGCGATTTTTAAACGTGTTATTGGGTTTTCGTCCCAACAATCAGACACTAATTTGTATTCCTCATTTGTAAGATTTAATTTTGGTTGTCTTCTCCCATCTGACACAAATGTGGCCACGTTCCACGGATAAGGAAATTCATTTTTTGGATATGGATCTCCCCAGATCATAACAGAGTAAATAGTGACTCCAAAGGAAAAGATGTCGGCAGGTGTTTTATACTTCTTTTTGAGTAAGACTTCAGGTGCCATATAGCTTGGAGTTCCAACCCCTTTAGTGAAAGTCATGTTCGTCATCATTAAATTGATGTTTCTAGCACTTCCAAAATCAGTCAATTTTGCGTTCACAGTGATGTTATTTTCAAGGGAAAACACAAGCATGTTATCTGGTTTAATATCTCTATGTAAAATCCCATTATTGTGCAAATACTCAATACCACATGCACAGTCCTCTAACAACTTAATTCGTAATTTTTTGGTTATAATTTTGTTGTACTTTTTGGTCTTACTTTCAATCAAGTTCTGCACACTCCCATACTTAGCAAATTCAGTGATCACACTTCTATCGTCTTTGATCATCACCGCTCCATAGAAATGGACGATATACTCACTTTTAAATTTCTCTAGCATTTCAACTTCACGTGAAAATTCATCATCACCTCCTTCATTACTTTGAATCTTAAGCTTTTTAATAGCTACTTTGTTACCCCGGAACGTGCCATAATAAACTACACCAAATGTGCCTTCGCCTATTTTCTTCGTCTGAATCAACTCGTCGGGGTCTAATATTGAACTTTGATCAGTTGTTAGATCAATTGAAATATCAAAGGATTTGGTTTCTTCGTACTTGAACAAATAGACGGAGAATGATATTTTCTGTGTAATTTGTGTTGTGCAATTTGGTACAATTTTAATAGTAAATTCCATCGCTTTATTTGGTCTCAAAAAGACGAGTTCTGGTGTGATTGTAATTTCATATTTCTTCGAACTGATATAAATCGGTTGGACTTTAACTTTATGTTTACCGTGATTGGCAAGAATAAGTTTAAACAATGATTCTTGCCCCACTGGAATACCTTTCCCGTCTTCATTACAAAGAACCTTTTTATTTATTAAAATGCCCGGGACTATTTCAGAGAATCTTTCATGTAAAAAGACTTCTTTTAAATCCAAAGTGTTGTCTTGTTGTATTTTTATAAATCGCCTGAATAAAAACGTGATGACTATATAAAGAACTACAACAAATATCAAAAAGACGGGAATCACTATCAAGGATATCCACCATAACGACTTCCGTGTACAGAATCTGTTATTGGGGTTTAATTCATACCCTTTCTCACACGATTCACAGAAGTTGTTTGATGACGCACTACACTTGTCAATATAACTATAATTGACACAAGTGCCATGTGAGAGAACATAATTGTCACTGCACAATTCACAACTTTTTTCTTGTGTACATCTGTCGCAGTTTTGAGAGCACTTTGTGCAATACGAATCTTTCACAAAGTACCCCCTGTCACATTTTGTGCACCCACTTTGTTCGCTCTTTTCACTACAATTTGTGAGTTCGGAAAAGTCTCTACACTCTTTCATTTGATACATGAAGAATCCAGTGTTACACTGAATAGGTTGATTCTCATTTAAACATGTTGCCATTGTTGATGGACATTTGATACAGTCCGTGTTCTTTCGATAATACTTTTCGTTACACACTGCACATCCCAATTTGGATATCATGAGTTGTTGGCATTTCTCCTTTGCGTCTTCATTTGCAACACATGTGTGGTTATACAATGCACTTTCTGCGTCAGAACATGACAAACAGAATGTCGAGGTTTGAAGGCACACGTCACAGCCATCTCCACATTTGGCACACCTTGAAGTGCTTATTGGGTTATTTATTGTTGTCTCTAAATAAAATCCAGAGGTACATCGAAGACATCGACCATAATTGTTTGTTGTGCATTGACTCACTCCTATTGACAATACCATGCTATTGTTATTTAAGTAACGTGTAAAGAGAGTTTGTGACTTTATATCGATACTTTGAAGTGGCGTGTTTGTAATACAAACACCATTTTGTAGCCAAAGGTCTTCTTGTGTTGTGTTACATTCAACACAAATGCCTTGACTTCCAGTGCATTTTAAACAATTTGCAGCACATGGAATACACAATGGGGGATTATAAAAACCGTCGTTACACTTCATACACTTGAAATTTTGAAAGACATGACAATTACTCTGAGAAACACCTTTTAAAACGCAGTTGCCGTTTTCTATTATAAAGTCACTGGAACATTCAAAACACATCTTTTTGTTGCACTTGCGACAACCATCACCAAATGTGTTCCTACATAATTCACATTTTGTGTTATTGTTATAATAAGAATTCGAACATGAAATAACAGAAGATGATGTGACACTTTCTGTGTTTTCAAGAGTTTCACAATTCCCATTCACATTCTTATAATTTGTGTCACAAACCAAACAAACTGATGAAGTGCAACTCTTGCAATTATCTCTGCACTTGATACATTTTTGTCCATCTGTGTAGTAATTTTCACTACACTTTTTACAAAGTCCATTTGAGTAAAAGACACAGTCAGTAGCATATGGTACACACCATCCATCTTTCAATTTGTACTGTTCTTTACATTGAATACATTGCGTGGAATTACATTTTTTACAAAATGAAGTACATGAAACACAATGTTGTGACTCAATTTCATTATTGACTATTTTAGTGTCGAGGTAATAATTTTCATTACAAGTAATACAGAGCCCAGTGCTCCCATATTGATTACATCTATCAATGATCTGGTTCTCTTTGCACTTTCCACTCACCTCACCTTGTCCACATGAATCACAGACAAATTTGTCTTCTTCAAAATGCCCAACTTGGCATTTTGAACGTGTTGAATATGTCAAAGTCCGAACTCCACTTTCCAATAACCCACGTGGTGTTTTTTGATTATTTTGAAGACTAATGATCGAATTTGTAGTTTTGGGAATAAGTGTAGCATCATCTTGCAAAACAAATATAGCGCTAGTGAACTCTCCTCCAATAACAAGTTTTGTTTGCACTTCATTTTGTTGTTCGTTTGTAATTTGAATGAATTTGCTCTGTCCATTTATAACCGCATTACCAATATTCACTATTGTAGTCATCTCATTGAAGTCGTTTTGAACGGAAATCACTTTGTCACTTCCTTCAAGATGTAACACACTTTCGTCTTTTATAGTAAATACATTGACTTCTCGAACATTTATAAAATGAAGTGGTTTCGTCACTTCCAATATCGCAATGATAACATCAAAAGTGTTTTGTGTACTTATAGCAAAACTTTCACTCTCATCAAATTGGTATCTACAATTTGTTCCATGACAAGGACATTGCTCGTATTCAAACGTACCAAAAACACTATTTTTGACTTGACATATAATCTCTGTGTTTGTTTCAATGTTTCCCATATTCTCTACACACACTCGAAGTAAATGATCGATGACATAAGTCTCATATTTCCCATCTTTTGAATTATGTAGACTCTCACTCAAGGCACTTGACCCACTCACTAACTCAAAACAAGTAATCTGATCACTATCAAACTCTTTTTGCATGGAGCCATCACTTATAAAACTCCCTCCATTCATTTGAATGAGTGCTCCTTCGTTTAAATTGGTCACTACACCTTTCACTTCTATTTGATATGTCTTAATAACACTTTGTGGAGTTGCTATAATCCTTGTCGACGAAGACAAAATGATTTTACCACATCGCAACGTGCAATTGATATGAACAATTTCTGCATTCATAAAATTACAATCATTTGCGACTACAATGGAGTTACCATATACATTGAGGATGTGTGGACTTGGATTCACCACTTCAATACTCTCCCAATACTTTTCAGTATTCCCACTGTTATAGTCACTACTCATTTCTAACTTTATGCGATTCATTCGTTCGAGTGTCATATATTCACAGTCATTTTGTTTAAACATCCCATTGCTTTGTGTACATGTACATCCAAAAGTACTTCCTTTCACTACAAATCGACTCTTTGTCCCATTACACCTCTCTTCTTGTAATTCACTTTGGTTCATCAAATCACTGCACTCGCGTTCTCCCATTGAACATTTCCCCACAAAGAGTACGGTATTACTCAAATCCTGAATTGCACTGTAGTCGACACTTGTGATGTGGAAATTACCCAAATCATAAAAATTGGTGTTGCCATTAATTTTTATACCTCCCAAAAAGATGACGCTGCCCTCTATCGTCAAATTATGTTCTGGCAAATTCACTTCTTGAAGAAAAGTCATGTTAGACCCCTTTCTGATACTTAAGACAGTGTCCTCTCCCGTAGTCACCAAATTTCTCCACTTATATTCATACGGCACTTTGTCTTGTTTTGGAAGTGCTTTGAAGTCGAAGTACTGACTTAAATAAGTACAGTCGTGTTCGTGGTTATGATATTCGTAGTCACTATATACACATGAACAGTCTTCGTAGTCATCTAAAATGGTATTTGGACACACAGAGATGCGGTTATACACTCCTGACGTACAAACATTCTTCATTGTTAAGTGAGGGTTTGTGACAGACATTGTGACAATGCCTCCTTGTAGTGTATACCGATACTGACACTCAGTTCTGTCTATTTCCTTTGTCAATTTGATATCAAAATTTCCATTCACAAATACACTGGGCGAAAATCCCCATTGAAAATCCATATCAACACTTTCAGTCGATTTACTCAGTGGAGTTTCTAAATAAAACTGCCGAGACTCTACTGATAAGGAAATTCGCGGTGTTTGTGGTGTCGTGTTTCTGCCTATAAAAGTGATAGTACTTCCAGATAAAATATAATATGTGTTTATTGCCCAATATATCAATGGATTATACTCTTCTATTGTTATATTAAAAGTGAGTCTGGCAAAGGGAGTGCCTTTAAACTTAAAAACAATTTTCTTTGGGTTGGAATTTAATGTGTAATTATCTTCGTAATTGATAATGTGAAATTGATTGTACTCGACATCCCAATCATTCGAGGCACAACAGTCTGTGCGGATTTCAAATACTTCAGTACGCGCATCGGTGTATGTAATGAAACCTCGTCCAAGCTTCTCATAATCACAAGACCCTTCAATCACATTTTTGTATGTCACTATTCGAGTTGAATCATTAAAACACCACGAATTGGTGTAGACCTGTGCAGAAAACACAGTGAAGATTAAAGGGAGGAGATACAAAAGCCCCCATCGCATAGAAACAACTGATTTACCTTTAAAGTTTGAGTTGATGGATGCTTTTTGTTTTCGTTTATAGAAACTCTTTTGGAATAAAACAAAGGTGAAAAATTCAGTCTTTTTTTTTAATTCTTTGGTTGAATTATCAACTCGAATTTTCTTTCCTTTTTCATCACTATTGTGGTTAACTAGATACTAATTTGTCATTATTATTATTAGAAACTATTACTTACTATTATTTTATTACACTTTTTATTTGAAAATGGTTAATATTTTTATTAATAAATGTTCATGAAATTTTGGTTAAGTAACTTTTCTCATTTTAATAATTGTTTTTTATTAGCGTTCTATTTATATGATATAATAGAAAATATTACATAATTATAATAATATATAAATAATTAGTAAAAATACAGGAATTGTTATATTTATATAGTAAATGTTTTACTTTTGTAATTAACTAATAATTAAATTATAAAAAAATTATACTATACTTTACAAAAAAATATAATAAATTAATAGTTTATTAATTAATAAATAATTATAAAAAAATAAATAGATTATAAAATAACATAATAATAACTAAATTAATATAATTATATAATATTGTATATAATTTAGTAATTATAAACAAATGATAAAATTAAGAATATATACATAGTAAAATTATTATTTTAAAATTTTATAAATTATGATAATTAAAAATTACTATATTTTTTTGTTAAACTAAAATAATATTGTATTAATTTAATTACTAGTATTAATATAGTTTAAATTTAGATAATAACAAAATTAAAAACAATTATAACAATAATACTTTTTCAAAAAACAAAAAAATAACAATTAAGATTGAGAGATATGGAATCCTCATATCACATAATTGACATTGCTCCTCACAAATACGTGATTGAGACAATCAAAACGGCACATGATATAGTTGTTGTTATTCAGAACAAAAATGAGAACGTGTTGAATGGTATAGCCCTTGCGCAAAAAACAGTTGAAAGTATTCCGAGTACCACGCAGATCTTTGGGGATGTTTTAGATGATGAGTCACAGTCCATTGCACAGCTCTTATCACTTAAGCTTCAAAAACGCGTCACTGTTTCTTGTAATGTGACTTTCAGCCAGGAGTATCCTGAGAAGCAACAATTAGTGAAGGCGATTCTTTCTTTATTTAAGTAACTATTTTCATTAGTTTGTTTTCTAATTCATTTTTATTACATTTAATACTAATTTTTATAATAATATATATATTATATTATTTATAATAATATACCAGTTACACAACTATCCATCATTCTTCGAGTGAATAGTAAATAATTCTAATAAAAGAATTATAAAAAGCACGAGCAAAATCAATTAATTTTCCGCTTCTACTGTTTTAGTCAACAAGCCCTTGAAAGAGGCGACTGGGACGTATGAGACCAAAGTATAGAATTTTCCTTCTTCACCCTCGAGTGGCATTCTAGCCATTCTGACTCTAATTCTGTGAGCGACGTTTCTGATACCCATAGACCAGACGTACTGATTAAGACCCATATCGAATTTGACTCGGTGTGTCTTCATAGTTTTCATGGCAATGAATCTGATGACTTTAATGGCCTTTGGTGCTCTGTGCTTGAAACCCTCTTTGTGCATAAATCGGTGCATATACAAGGTCATCTCCTTGGTCAATGGCGCTAATTCTTTTGCAACCTTTTTCACGGGTTTTGTGGCGGCAGCCTTCTTCGCCTTCTTTGCATCACGGCGTGCTTGATTGACTTTTTGGTACTTCAAAAGTCTCGGATTTTTGGTAACCTTTCTCTCTTTGACTGCCATCAATCACCTCCAAGTTTACCCTAAATAAGTTCTTAGGTTTTCCTTTCTCTTGTATTGGTTTTTTTCGATTTATTGATTTATTATCATATTATAATGTGTTATTCTTTTGGTTGTAAAATCAATATTGAACTATTATATTATTATTTATTCTTTGGTTTCTTTTATTAATACATATATTAAAAATTATAAATAAATTATTTTTTTTGATATTATTGTTTTTTTAATGGTCTTGTAATTAAAATGTCGATATCTATTTTGATATTATATTTTATTACATTTTTAATTATATATACAAGTTATTATAATATGTCAAAAAATTCATTAATATACAACATATATTTTATATATCTAACTTAAAATACAGAAAAAAAATACCAATTTTTTAAAATTGTGAAATTGTTAGTAATATTAACTATAAAATGTAGTTTGAAAAAAAATTATATTATATCTAATTAATTTTTATTATTATATATTTTTGGTTTAAAACAAATAAAATAATTTAATTACACAATTTAAATTTATAAAATAATGTAAAATTACAATGTGAAAAAATTGAAAGGCATTTTTGATAATTTTATTGGTTGTTTTTTTAAAGTTTTTCTACTTTCCATAAAATGTTTATTAGTTTTTGTTTTTTTTGTTATTCTGTTTGCTCAAATATATTGCTAATTTTAAAAAAACTATAATTTATAAAATCTAAGATATACACAAATCAATAAATAAAATATTTGTGGGAAAAAAAATAAAATTGCCATTTTTTCGACAAAACTACTAAAACTAATAATTTTTTTGAAAGACAACAAAAATAATACAGTAGGGAAAATGAACCTTAGCCCGAAAATGTACTTTAGCCCAAAGAAATTCCTATATTTTTCTTTAAAAACACGGGTTTTTACTAAAAAAACAAATATTTTAAAAAATTGACTTTTAAATAGGTATAGTTTATTATTTTAATATAACAATAGAAAATAATTAGTTTTTCTTTGGGCTAAGGTTAATTTCCTGGGCTAAGGTTTAATGGCCCAACTGTAATATGAATAGTAAAAAAAGTATTTACAGGTCTGTCAAATATAGAAATACAAAACTAAAGATATTACTAAAATATTGGATAAAAAAAACTATACCAAAAAATCTTGTGATTTGAAAAACGATAAAAACAAAAGCTCAAAAAAATTCAAATGACCAAACCACAATTCAAGCTGAGCGACCTGTTGGACGCCACAGTCAACTCCACCAACGCTTTACCGAACCAGAAGAGGTTCTCCCAGATTTTAGTTGTACTCCAGAAAATCCCAACCGCCGCTGAGTCGCTCGCTTCTTTACTCCAAAGCAAGATGCGAGCATTTTTAAAGCGTCTTGTTTTGAAGCGAGAAATGTATTTTGTTTTGAAACTGATTGACTTTCTAGTCACTTCATCTGAGAAGTTTAGAGCGTGTGTGTTTACTCAACAATTTATCAAACTGATTGTGTCTGTATATTCAATGAAAGTTTGTTGTTAACAAACCCTTCTTAAAACTCTTTGTTACTGTACCATTCAACGATTACATCTAAAATAATGTGAATGGTTATGGAAGACATTTTAGATTTTTTGAACTGACTTAAAGGAGATCATTCAACTTTCTTCTAAACCTACTATTGTTCAAATAAAGGCAGCAGAAGTTTTTACACACTTTTCTTCCTTCCAAAATTTCGCTCCTTTATTACCTCTCGTTCCAAAAATCACAATCTCGACCTCTCAGAGTTTTCTCTTTCAACCGTCGTGCGCAATCTCCGGAATTTCTATTGATGACGCAAACGAGATCGTCTCACTTTCTCAAGACGCAATTGATGATGAGGTCAAAAACAAAACGTTGAAGGAAAAAACAAAAACGCAATTTCTGGATAATTTGAAATTTTTGTCATCTCAACTTAATCTCCCCGACTCTCATATCTCCACAAACCAGAAAGAGTTGGTTGAAAAGGTCATCAAAACAATAGAAAATTCAGAAGTTGAGACAGACTCACTCAAAAGAACATTTTCTGTTCATGAGAACATTGCACAAGCAAAAATCCAGTTCTCGAAACGAAGAGCAACTTCTCTTACTATTGACAGACATAGTAATGAATTTGAAAGACTCGAGAACATGTACGAAAATTATCAGAAGCTTTTTGCAAGTCATTCTTAACTTTTGTATCTCTGTATTCCATTTTGATTATTTTACTATATTTAATAATACATTGAATTTTTTATGTTTCTATTGTATTATATTTATTAATAAATATATATCAAAATGAAATACTTTACTATTTTCATTATTTAATTATTTAGTTTAATAAAAACAGTTAAAAAAACAAATAGTTAAAAAAAACGAAATAAAAATGTTTTTATTTAATATTATAAAAAAAATAAAAAAACACAATAAGATACAAAACTATAAAGTATAATTAAAGTATAATTAAAATAACCAAAACACGACTAATAAAAAACAACAATAAAAAAGATACTATTCGAATTTCATAAAAAAAGATCGCGAACTTCAAAACGATGTCAGTTCCGAAATTAACGATTGTTGAGCAAAAGCAGTTTTCGAAATCGATAGAAGCATTTCAACAAGGTGTATTGATATATTTGTTAGTACGTTCCAGTTACACAGTGACTTTAAAACGCCTTGACAAAACAGCGAAAAAAACGTTTCAAAATTTTCCTATAGTAACTATAAATAATTCCACGACGACGTATGACTTCCAAAAAAAAGTCGAAGAAGAGGCTTTATTTGCAAAACAACTCGAAGAGAAAGAAAAACCGTCTGATCAAGTCCAACGCCATTATGAACGAAATAAAGTCACCATTTCATGTAACCGTTTGTTGGAATTTGTTCAACGGCTGGGATTTACTTTCATTCAACGAGGAACTCGGTCCACTAAATACACCGTCAAACTCAAAAAGATCGCAAAAATCACGGGAAACAACATCACCTTGCAAAAGGAACAGATCTGGCAAATCGGAAAAAAGACCGTCGAATACATCAAAACACTCTTTGGCAAGAATGATGAAGCTACCGTCGGAATCGACTTGTTGGTCCAATTCCCAGAGATCTCCACTCCACTCGTCGATGTCTCATTAAACCAAAAATCAAGGGATTTCAACAAAAATGAATTCGCCGTCAAAATCGTCGATGAATTCGTCGAAAACAAACGCAAAGAAGTCACTCAGAAAATGGAGGAGGACTTTTCTAAAGCAAACAACCTGAAAGATACCACCAGCGACAAACAGGTGGCAATCACTTCAAATAACATTTCTAATAATATATCAAATAACATTTCGAATAACATTTCTAATGAGGCATCGGAATATCCCGAAAAGCCACAAGAAAAGATCGAAATGGTCGACAACTTCGATTTGGAATTTGGAGACGTCAAACTGGGAGACGAGTTCTTGGTAAAGGAACAAAAGGAAATTTCATTTGAAGGGTCAAGGAGCTTTGTTAATTCAGTTGACCCAATTAACTCATTCTTCTCACCTAATGATATCAATAGACAACTCAAGAAGTGAATGAATGTGTTTTAACTAGTGAAATGCTATAATTTATTATTCTGTGTATAGTATTTGCTTTGGATATAGAACCATTAAATTATAATAAATATTGTTAATATTTTACTATACATATTGGAAAAAAACTATACTAGTACGATACTAGTAAATATATAGTTCCAGGAAGACAATAGTATTTAAGATTGAAAAGGATAAGTTAAAAAATGATAAGCTAATATATCCCTCACACACGGGAAAAAGTCGTAAGATATTTTGGAGTGATTTTTTACTTCTTCCAAAAGAAGTTTTGGTTCGTCATTTGTTGAAGGAACACATGACAGAAAACTCAAAAAGAACAGATGCAAACTACTGAGCCATCAGCTACTATTCAAGACGATAGTTTAGTCACTTCACAATCGTCGGAGTATTATAATGGAAATGCAAAGACTTCGTACGTCCCAATGAATACTTTCTTTGTGACGGCAGAGAATCAACAGCAAGTCAATGTCCAACCGATTCCTCAACAAGTCGACCAACCCATTAACTACGCTCCTCCTCCTTTGAATCAACAACTCCAACCTCAACATCAAGAAAATGAACTCCAACAAAGCGTCCCAGTCTATCTCCAAAGCACTCAATTCCCACAAAACGGGAACTACCCAACTCAAGGATACCCAATACAACCACAAAATGGCATACAACCACAATTTATCGTCAACGGCGACGAAGCGATGAACATCGACGCAACGAAAAAATATATCGAGAAAAGAACGGAAGAAAGAAACTGTAAAATTACTCTCGTCTTCCTCATCATCGGAATCATCTTCTGCCCTTTCCTCGTTGCTTCTTTTGTCATCTCACTGAGATGCGAAAACAAAAAATATCGAATGCTCGGAAGACTCGCTATGTTACTCTTCTTCTTGGAACTCTCAGCATCCTTTATGTTCATCATCCTTTCTAGTTAATTCAATAGTTCTTTGTCATTCTTTGTACGCTGAGAAGAGATCGCGTTTGTCAATTAATCATTTTGTTTTGTCAACTGGAATTTATAATATTTTGTATTATTAAGTATTATTAAGTATAGTTATAGGATTGAATGTGAGTATTTAATAAGGCGGAACGAGAAGTCAGTTTTTGTCTGAAATAAATTATTTTTTAATGTAAAATATCACTGTTTGAAAATGACGGAACATGATGACTTAGGAAATGGCTTGTGAAAAAAAAGTCAAAAATACGTCAAATCTTGTGTATTTTTTCATGCCATTTTTATTGAAATTGGGTGTCGTTCCACCTTGTAAAAATAAAAGAAGATGAGATTGAGATGGTTGAAACAACAGAATTTTTAAGGCTTGTAAATTGATTCAAATTTTATAATTTCTTAGCATTCAACAAATGTCGTACCATTAAAAATTATTATGGTGATTCGACTCCAAAACAAAGAAAGTGTTTCTTTCTTTAAAAGACACTTTCTTATGTGTTTACAAAACAGTGTAAAGAAGACTAAAAATTCGGGAAATAAGCTCGAGTAGTGTTTAATGAGAAGGAAAAAGAAAGAAGAGAAAAGTGTCGAAGACAAGTAAAAGTGGAATATAAAAGGGTTTTGAATGGGATCTTTACATTGCAGTCTATGAAGTTTGGGAAGAAGTTCAGGGAGGGTATGACTGTTGAGTGGGAGGACCAGTACGTTACTTTTGATGTGCTTCGAGTTTGTGGTTTTGTTTTTGTCGGAAAAGTCAAATGGAACGTTAGAAACTTGAACTTAATCAGCTCAACACAACGAGTTGCACCTATTTTTTTGCACCTTTTAACATAAAATCATTTTTGTTATTTGATAGAAACAGTGTTGACAAATAGAACCGACTTCTCAATTACGAGAGAATGAAGGAACAAGTCAGTGCAATGAAGCAAGAAGGCGAAGATATTATTATCGAAATGAGTACCGAAGACGCTTTATCCGGACCACAAAGTCCCGAAGACAATTCGAACGACGAGGCAAATGGAGATTGTGTGTTGTTAAAGACGAAAATGGCCAATGAAGAGCAGTTTGTTTCAATTTTTCCGTCTAAGTTGACAAGTTCACAGAAAGGAATTTTTGGGTTGGGTTCGATATGAATATGGAAAAGGTCGACTTGTTCTATTGCGAGCGTATGAAGGAGTCCGCGAAATTTCTTCAAGAGTTTATGACACGACTTGTAGCGTTTGACCTTCTTAAGGAAGACCCAAAGAATGAGCGGAAAGGGAAACTTGCTCAGATAATCCGGAGTATTGAAAACCACGAAAAGAAGGGGATTTCAAAGGTCTTGAAATACGATGAGGAGGACGATGAAAAGAAAGAACGAGAGAAAGAGCAGCGTGAGAATTTGAAAATTGCAGCAAAAATGTTTCAAGAGACTGAGAACGTTGGTTCAGAGATCGATACAATTGACCAAACCGAAGCCAAACTGAAAAGAGAGAAAACGCGTCGAATGACATCTGCTGATAAAAGTGAGTTACGACAAAGGAGCGTGTCAATGAGTAGTGATTACTCCACAACATTCAGTACAATGAGTCATGAAACTGAAGATGACAGTGGTAGTTCTGACGCACCAGAGAACAAAACTGACAGCGGGAGTAAAAACGAAAAAGGGGAGATCAATGGTGTTGTGATTTTGTCTCCGCCAATTCCCCCAAAGCACAGCGAAATTTCAAGAAGAAAGAAGAACAAAATGAAAATTGCAGCCGAGGAGTTTTATCGAGGGCTTTTATTGCTACAGAACTTTTGCAGTTTGAACAATGAAGCGTTTGTGAAATTGGTGAAAAAGAGCGACAAAGTGACTGGATGTAAACGGAGAAAGACAGTTGAACGCACAAACTTGGGTTCAACTAAGTTTTTTCGAATGGTCGAGCTGAACGCATTAATTGTCGAGACCAAACAACTCTTCGAGAAGTCGTTTCATGGAGAGAACAAGTTGGACCGGTTTAAGACAACATTGTATGACATATCGCCCGTTTCATCGTGGAGACTTGGCGTATTAATTGGAGGACTGATCATGTTACTTGTCTTAATGATTGTAAGAGTTGTGAGCTATGTTCTAGAAATTAAGGTAGACACAGTGGACAGTTCGACGCGTGTTTTGACTGAAAATGAAGTGTTTTGTGTATTACGAATAACGCGGATTGTACTACTAATTTCGACATTGGAATTCTTTTGGGGTGTGGATATGTTCGTATATAGAAAAGCGCGTATTAATTACCACTTCATATTTGACATGAACAATTACAAGTACAGTTTTTTGGATGGGTTACAGGGTGGTATCCAAGAGTGGTTTTTCTGTGTGTTGTGTATTTACGGGATGTTACTTTGCTTGTCACCACCAACAGGATTTGTCTTTTTGAACAAAATACCATATTGGGTATTCACATTAATCAACGTGTTACTTGCGTTTTTGATCTTTTTCATCCAACAAATTCGGCATCCGTGGTTGATTAAGACCATATCAAGAATTGTTTGTGCGCCGTTTAAACGTGTTTATTTTAAAGACTTCTGGTTGGCGGATCAGATGACTTCAATTGCTCCTGCGTTCAGTGACATCATGTTTTTTGTCCTGTTTTTCTTTTATGGATTTGTCAACTTCGCGTATGATAAGAACGGCCGCCACGCCGAATTTACGGGCGTCGAGATGATGAAATACTCTAAATATTTTACACCAATCATCTCATGTCTTCCACCGTTGTTCAGATTTTTGCAATGTTTTAGGTCCGCGAGAGACTCGGGTAATAAGTATCAGTACGCCAACGCAGGGAAGTATTTCACTTCAATATTAAACGCTATTGGTGGAGGCATTCGTGATGTCAAGAAAGACATCACTGTTCCGATATACGCAGGACTCAACACAATCAACTCGTTGTATTCTGGCTCGTGGGATATTCTGATGGACTGGGGGTTGATGCAAAAGTCGTACAACTTCTTAAGAAAGAAGACTATGTATCCAAAAATTGTGTATCCGTTCGCTATTGTGTTTGATATCACTCTTCGGTTTGCATGGGTGCTCAACCTTGTTGTGATATATTGCAATTGGTTTGACAATCAGATAGTTGTGAAGTTTGTTTGAATATGTATTTAATGTTTTTAGTGATTACCATAATTACCATAATTAATAATTATATACCATAATGCAAAACAAAATAATGATATATAGAGAATCCATTTCTGTGTTATTAGCGATCATCGAAGTTGTCAGAAGAGGTGTCTGGAACATTTTCAGAGTCGAGTTTGAAATGACAAACAACATGGATAAGTTCAGAGCAACAAAAGAGATTCCTTTGCCCGTCCCAGACTAGATTGGTTACTTATTGTTTCTTTATTGAATATTTTGTTGAATTTGTTTTCTGTTTGAAGAGTCTTTCTAAAATTACAAGTTTTTAAATAATATAATATTATAGATTAAACTAAAAAAGATAATAAATAAACTGTTTGATATTATTATAAAAACACAATAATATTTATAAAAGTGCACTTTTCTTCAAGCAAAGAAAAAAAAAGGAAAAAAAAGAAAATAAACGAGGAAATATTAAGATTTTGAAAACTTTTCGTGGAGTGTTTTTGAGTCGAATTATCATTTAAAATACAAGTTAATTGTCTGTGTAAATTAACTCATGTAATTCATTCATTTTCGTTAATTTTGTTTTTAGAATAGTCAGAATCATGGAAAAACACCAAAGAATGGTTCTTCTCTATGTATTAAATTATAATTAAATTATTATAATTATTGGTATAATCATCTATCACTCGAACACAATTATTGATAAATTTTAATTAAACAAAACTACTCATATAGTTTAATACATATTAGGTTTTTAGTTGGTAATTATTCAATTATTATATAGTTTCGTTTAATTAAAAAACAACTATAAAAGTCTTTCACAAAGTTGGTGATCTAACTTTATTTATATTAACAAAACCATTAAGAATAACAACCTAGATTGTTTTTTAATTTTTTTCGGCATTATTTACATATGAAAACAATTCAAAGATAAAACATTGTTAAATAACTAAATTTTAATGAAACGAATTACCAATTTGAAAAAAATACCTAATAACAGAGTATTTAATTTTAAGATAATTATAACTTACATATAGTTTTAATTAATATTTTTAATAGTAAAACAATAATAAAATATATTAATATAAACCATTACAATTCTTTGTTGTTGTTTAAAATTGCTTGGAATTTTTTGAGTTGATAGTAACTAGTATAACAACCATTATTAATTATATTTTTAACTATTTATGAAACAAATTAACTATTTTTGAAAATAAATCATTTATTTTTGTCTTTAAAAAGTTTTTTATTTTAGTTAACAAAAAAAAGCCGTTTTTTTATTTATTCTTTTACTTTAATTGAAAGATAAAAAAATCGATCATTTTTTTTTTTTTTTTTGTGATTGACAACTTTTTAAAACCAGAACAACGACAAAATACCAAACAAAAGAATAACAGACACACTAATTTATTATAATATTTTATTATTAATTTTAATTAAACAATTAAATAATTCGATTACTAATAATTTAGTTTTCAGGCGTATAGAAATAAGATGCAAAGCAGAGTTTTTTTGACCAAAAATAATACAATGTTTCCATATAGTTATAAATTGAATACTATTGAAAACACTTGAGTTAGTGTTTTTTGAATCGTTGTTGTTTGATAACTCCCCGAAAATAAGCATAAAAAAGGGTTTACAAAAAGTAGATTTCACATTCATAATGGCGGCTAAGGCAACACAGCCATTTCTCGACGAGGTGATGCACGCCGATATTAATACATACAATCCAATCAAAAACACAATAAGTCCGCCACTCCATTGTATCCAGTCGTATGAAAAAGCAGAGAATGGCTTTATTAAAATACGAACGATAGCATACTCTTGTGGCAAATTGGAGAGTGTTAAAGAGCTTTTTAAAAACAGAGATTTGTTTTACTCGACTTTCCCCGAAATAACACACATGAAGGTACTCAATAACTCGAGAATTGAATGTCACTCGATTTGGATCTCTGACAACCAAAAACAACTTTACAACTTCCAAGAAACTGTTATTGAAGGAGACAACTATGTGTCACGACTTGAAACAGACTACACCCCCAAAACAAGTGTCTACTACATCTTTGTCTGTGAAAAACATCTCTCTGGATTGAAATACACGTGTGAAATGAAAATACTGAATGGCACAGTGACGTACAGAAATTTTTTAAATATCATCAACAACCAACGAATTTTTGTGTATTACATTTGTGAGAGAATGAACGTCACGCGGGAAGGGTATATCCTTCTGAATTCAGAACGCGAGTTTTATCAGAGAATGGACCAGACTGCATTATACCCCCGTCTTATTTATCTCAACGAATTCGAGAAAATATTAACTAATGAGGAATGTACACAAATTATATTTATAGGCAAAGTCCAACACCAAATGCCACTCAATACAATACTCTCCGGAATCCATTTAACTACAATTTCAACCCCTTTTTTTCCGAAAATACAAACAATTACAGAGAATAAAAAATCAAGTTATTTGCACTGTGAGTCGCCATTTTTAGCGGACGGAACTATACAAACAGACATCGCTTTCTTTTCAAGAATAGTCGAAGGAAATATCTTCTTTACATGCCACTCAGTCCACCACCCTTTGTGTCGCAATAAACATACTAATAAAAAGTTCGAGTTGGTCATTGCAGCGGAGATGTTCGACGTGTCTCCGAACGGATCTGTGGAATCCAATTTTTACTACCAATTTTACTGCCCAGACTTTGCTAAAGCAAGTCCAAGAAAGCACGCAGTCATGTTTATGGACGTCTGTAACTGCTTTTCTGCATATCGACTTATGATCGAGTACAATATGCAATTTCCAAAATTGGTTGATATCAGTGACCAATTAAAAGTCTCTCGTATATTACTGGCGTACATCATACGTGTTGGTGTATATATCAGAAAAAGGAAAGTCCTTTGCAGCCACGACGAACGGAACACAAGAAGGTGTGACAAGAAAGTTTCAAATTACTTAGGGCAATTAGATGACAAGTTACTTGAAAACATCTTTAGCTTCTTGTCACTTGAAGACTTGATGAAAACAATGGAAACGTGTAAGAAGTTTTATGGGATGATACAAAAGATGGACAACATCTGGAAAGTATTTTATACCATCCACTACGCGCCATCTATTTTTAATAAGACTGACTATCATA